TGAGAAAGGACTGGATGAAGGGTAAGGAGTATGGTAAGGAGTAAGAGGCAAGGAGACAAATTAAAAGCCTATTTAAGCAATCCAGACCAGAGATGATGATAGCTTGGACCAGGAGGGAAGTAGTGGAGTGGGGAGACGCTGTTATGGTCTGAAGATACGTTGAAGATGGAGACAAGATGATTGTCGTTGGATCAGGTGGATAGTGCAAAAGAAAACTGGGGGTCAGAAAGGATCCAAGATTTTTTTAAGAGAACTATAAAAACTATAAAACTACTAGAAGAACACATAGGGTAAACATTCCAGGACTTTGGCCTAGGCAAAGGTTTTATGGCTAATAACCTCAAAAGCACAGGCAACAAAACCAGGAACAGGCAAATGGGACTGTATTAAACTAAAAAGCTCCTGCACAGTGAAAATAAACAATTAACAGGTAAAGATGCAGCCTGTTGAATGGCAGAAAATATTCCCAAACTACTCATCTCACAAGATACTAGTATATAAGTAAACAAGGAACTCAACTCAAAGCAAAAAAATAGAAACAAAAACAAATAATTCCTTTGAAAAATGAGCAAAGAACATGAATAGACATTTCTCAAAAAACATACAAATGGCCAACACATACATGAAAAAATGCTCATTATCACCATTCATCAGGGAAATGCAAATCGAAGTCACAATGAGATATTATCCTATCCCTGTTAGACTGGCTATATACTAGAAAGACAATAAATAGCAATGCTGATGAAGATGCAGAGAAAAGGGAGTTCTTAGACACTTTCAGTGGGAATGTAAAGTAGTACAGCCTCTGTGGAAAACAACATGGAAATTTCCAAAAAACAAACAAACAAACAAAAAACACTTAAATAAAAAGAGAAACATGATATGATCCAGCAATCCCCTCTACTGGGTATTTGTCCAAAGGAAAAGAAATCAATATCTCAAAGGAATACCTGCACCTTCATGTTTATTGTAGCACTATTCACAATAGCAAAATATATAATCAACCTAAGTGTCCAGAAACAGAATGGATGCAGAAATTGTGACAAACACACATACACACACCCTATGAAATACTAGTCAACCATTAACAAAAATGAAATCCTGCCATTTGCTGCACAACATGGTTGAAACTGGAGATCATTATATTGAGTAAAATAAGCCAAGCACAGAAAGACAACTATTACATGTCCTCACTCATTTGTGGGAGCTAAAACAATTGATCTTATGGAAAAAGAGAATACAGTTATAGTTACCAAAGGTAGGGAAGGGTTTGTAAGTGCTGGGGAGGATAAGAGGCTGATTAATGGGTATAAACATACAATTAGACAGAATCAATAAAATCTAATGTTCTATGGTAGAGTAGGGTAGTTATAGTTAAAAGCAATGTAGTATAAATTTCAATATAACATCAAGAGAGGACTTAAAATGTTCCTGACACCTAGAAATGATTAACACATGAGGTAATGGATATCCTAAATACTTTGACTTCATCATTAGTACATCCTATGTACGTAACAAAATATTACAAGTACCCTAAAATTATGTACAAATTTTGTTTATCAATTAAAAATCAGCCTATCAATAATCATTAAAAAAGAGAGACGGAGTCTTAATAGGTTGCCCATGCTGAAAATATTCAAACCCAGCCATGGCACACTACAGCTTCAAATTCCTAGGCTCTAGCAAATCCCCACCTCAGCTTCCCAAGTAGCTGGGACTACAGGCAAGTGCTACCACGCTTGGCTACAACTCCAGACTCTTGGGCCTGTGTAGCTGGAAGACTGATATTGCCATTTTCTGAGTTTGGAAAGTATGAAGAAGGGTAAGGTTTGAGGTTGGAAACTGCATAAGAATCAGAGTTGAAGGTGTGGACTTGTGAAGTTTGTGGTATACAGAATATATCCAAGTGAAAATTCCAGTAGGAATCTCAAGGGAGAGATCCAGGCTATGGGATATAATGTAGGAGTCATCAGTGGAATAATGGAATTTAAATATATGAGACTAAATGAGACCAGAAAGGGAGAGCATGTATATTTATGAGTAAGTCCAAGTAGCACACTCTAATCATGCGATTTGAGAAGACTTTAACAAAGGGTCTATTTAAGTAGTGTGGCAGAATTTCAGATAAAGAATAAAGAATTATGTTGTCAGGCATGGTGGCTCACACCTGTAATCCCAGCACTTTGGGAGGCCAAGGTGGGTGGATCACCTGAGGTTGAGAGTTCAAGACCAGCCTGACCAACATGGAGAAACCCCGTCTCTACTAAAAATACAAAGCCAGGTGTGGTGGCACATGCCGGTAATCGCAGCTACTCAGGAGGCTGAGGCAGGAGAATCACTTGAACCCTGGAGGTGGAGCTTGTGGTGGGCCGAGAACGCACCATTGCATTCCACCCTGGGCAACAAGAGCGAAATTCCATCTCAAAAAAAGAATGAATAAAGGATGATGTATTGTCCCAATAGTAGGAAGCCTAATGGGTCCAGGGGAAGGAGGAATTACTGGAAACCGAAGAGGTGGCTGGATAGAGATGCTCCCCTTGACAAGAGCTGTAACCTTTAGTCAAGGGAGGCAACCCAGCAATAAGGAGGCTAGAGGAAGTGACACTCTACCCCACTCACCTCCCAACCTCCAACAGAAAGTCAAGGGCAAAGAAGCTGTTGATACTGTGTGCTCAAATCACCTCTTAGAACACAAACCAAAGAAGAGGAGGGGAAAAAGCAAAGGCAGGGAGGCAAATGGAAGAGATCCAGCACATCACATAAAGAGAAGAGACTCAAGAACTGAGCCCTAGAGAATGCCAGTTTTAAAGGTAGACAGATGAGGACTGAGATAGGAAGAAGTGTAAGATGGCCCCTAGGATTTCTACCCTTTGTTGTTGATGCCTTGTATGATCCTGCCCCTTGAGTGCAGCAGGACCTGTGACTTGCTTCTAGACAACAAGCTATGGCAATGTTGAAGGGATTTCCAGATGTAATTAAGATCAAATTCAACTTTTTTGAGTTAATGAAAAGGGAGATTTTCCTGATGGGTTTTACATAATCAAGGCCAAAGGTCTTAAAAGAGGGATGAGGAAGGGACTAGGTTGCCCTTGAGGTAAGAGACTCTCTTTGTGGTCTTGAAGTATGCAGCCATGCTGGAAAAGTCAATGTAGCAAGGAATTATGTGTGATCTCTAGGACCAAGAGTGGTCTTCAGCCACCAGCCTCCAAAGAGCCAGGCCCTCAGTCATTCATCCACAAGAAAATGATTTTGCCAATGACCTGGGTGAATTCAAAACCAGAATTACCTCCAGTTGAGCCTCCAGGTAAAATGCAGTCCAGCCATCCCCTTGATTACAGTCTTGTACGACCTTGATCGAAAAGCCCAGTTAGACTATGCCCTGACTCATGACTCACAGAAATGTTAGATATTGTATCTGTTTAACGCCACTAAATTTGTAGTAATTCCTTACATAACAAGAGAAAACTAATATTAGAAGAAACCAACAAAAAGGACTGAGAAGAACAACCAGGGAACAGGAGAACCAAGAAAGTGTCATCCCAGAAATTAAATTAAAGAAAGTATTTCAAGAAGAGAGTTACAGTTGTGGCAAATGCTTCTGAGAGTTCAAGTCAGATGATAACAGAGAATTGATCATTAGAACTTAATTGTATGGAATTAACTGGCAGCTTTAACAGGTAGACAAGGAAAAAAGCCTGATTAAAGTGGATCCAAGAGAGAATGAAGAGGAAAAACAAAGTGAGTTCCTGACTATAAATGTTTTGATAAGTTTTGCTATCATAGAGAAATGTAGCAATAGCTGGAGGAGAATGTGGAGTCTAGGGAGGGTTCCTTCACAATAAGAGATATTGTACTGTTTTTGAAAGCTCATTGTGATTACCAAATAGAGAGGAGAAAAAAAAATGATATAGGAAAAAGAGGCAGAATTTGTTGAAGTTATGTACTTGCATAGGCAACAGGGCATATAGTACTTAGCGCAAAGGCGGAATTAGACCTGGACAGTTGAGAAATAACAGTCAGAGAGAAGTCAGATTCCTTGAGTGCAGATACCAAAATGAAATAAAAATAGCATAAGAATAGAAAAGTAAAGAACAATCTCACTTATAAACATATATAAAAATAAATTAAATAGGACATAGTAGAAAGCTAAATTCACCAATTTTTTTAACATTTTAGGGAAGATGTAATTGACACATCATAAAATTCACCCTGAAGTGTAGTATTCAATGGGTTTTAGTACAGTAACAAAATTTAGTATAGCAACAAAATTTAGTATAGCAACAATCATTACAACTTCCAGAACATTTTTGTCACCCCAATAGGAAATCCCATATCCATTTGTCATCACTCCAAGTCCCTACTCCCAGCCCCTAGAAACCACTGATCTACAATCTGTCTTCATGGATATTCCTATTCTAGAAATTTAATATAAGTGAAATCATATGTGACCTTTTGTGGCTGGCTTCTTTCATTTAGAATAACATTTACAAGGTTCATCCCCATTGTAGCAAGCATCAGTCCTTCATTTCTTTTTATTGTTGGATGATATTCCATTGCAGGGATACACTACATTTTGTTTAGTCATTTATCAATCAATGAACATTTGGGTTGTTTTCACTTTGGGGCTACTATGAATAATGCTGCTATGAACATTAATGTACAAGTTTTTGTGTAGGAAATAATTTTAATTTTCTTGGATAGACATCTAGGGGTAAAATTGTAGGATCACATGGAAACCCTATGTGAAATTTTTTGAAAAACTGCCAAACTCATTTACAAGGAGGCTACACCATTTTATGTTCCTACTAGAAGTGAATGAGGGTTCAAATTTCTCTACATTCTCATCAACATTTGTTATTGCATGTCTTTTTTACTACAGCCATCCTAATGAATGTGAAGTGATATTTCATTGTGGTTTTGATTTGCATTTCCCTTTAGGGAATGATTTTGAGCATCTTTCCATGTGTTTATTGGCCCTTAGTATATCTTCTTTAGAGAAATGTCTATTCAAATCCCTTGCCCAGGGTTTTTAAATTGAATTATTTCTTTTTATTGTTGATTTACAAAGGTTCTTCATGTATTCTGGATACTGGTACCTTCTCAAGTATATGATTTGCAAATATTTTCATCCACTCTGTTGTTTGTCTTATCAGTTTCTTGATAATGTCCTTTGAAGCTCAAAAGTTTTTAATTTGATGCAGTCCAATTCTTTTCTTCTGGTGCTTATGTGCTTTTGGTGTCATATCTAAGAAAACATTGCCTCATCCAAGCTCACAAGGATTTACTTTTATAATTTTTTTCCTAGAGTTTGAAGGTTTTTGCTCTTGTATTTAGGTTGTTGACCCATTTTTGAGTTAATATTTGTATATGTTGTAACTCAATTCCAAAGTCATTCTTTTACACATGGGTATCCAGTTGTCACATCAGCATTTATTGAAAAGACTATTCTTAATCAAGTTATCTTGGCACTCTTGTCAAAAATAAATTGACCTTAAATATAAGGGTTTATTTCTGGACTCTATATTCTATTCCCTTGATCATATGTCTATCCTTATGCCAGTGCCACAATACCTTGATTACTATAGCATTCTAGTAATTTTTGAAATCAGCAATTTTAGAATCAGTTTATTTCTTTAAAAAAAAAAGCAGATAGAATTTTGGTAGTGATTGTGTTGCTACAGATCAGTTTGGGGAGTATGTCTACCTTAAGATTAATTCTTCTGATCCACAAGTAAGAGATATCTTTCCATTTATTTAGCTATTTCTTAATTTCTTTAAAAATGCTGTATCATTTTAGGTTTATAAATCTCATATTTTTTTGTTCCCTCTATTCTTAAACATATTATTATTCTTGATGTTACTATCAGTGGAATTGTTTTGCTAACTTCCTTTTTGAATGTTTATTGCTAGTGTATAGAAATACAACTCATTTTTGTATATTAATCTTGTACTCTGCAACCTTGCTGAATGTGCTTATTAGCTCTAATAGTTTTGTGGATTTTTTATGATTTCTGTGTACAACATTATGCCATCTGTGCATATAGTTTTACCTCTTTTTTTCTGATCCGTGTGCCTTTTATTACTTTTTCTTGCTTAATTGTACTGATTAGAACCTCCAGTACAATATTGACTAGAAATGAACTATATATTTTTTAAATTCATAATTCTATATGGCTGACTCCAAGAATTTAACAGCTATTCTATATAATAATATCAATTAAAGTAGTATATTAAATGGGAGATTTCAAACGATTACCTCAATATATTTATATAAGAAACACTTATATCATGCTGGTATGTGTCAGATAGTTTTAAGCACTTTGTAAGTATTATCTCATTGAATCTTTACAACAATTCTATGATTTAGATGCTATCATTCCCCATATTACACATGAGGAAAACAGAGTTAATTTATCCAATGTAACACCGCAGCTAAGTAGCAGAGCTAGAATTTAAGCCCAGCCAGATTGGTCCAGAGTTGTAGCTCTTAACCATTCAACATGCTGACTCACATATATGTCATTATTAACCAAGTAGCTTAATGATGACATTTGAAAAGCATTCCTTTACATGTCGTGAAAAAGACAAGGTTGCCAACTACTGCTACTTCTATTGAACATTTTAGTGTAAGTTCTAGTAAATGAAAGCCAATGAAATTTTTGGTATAATAATTGGAAAAACAGAGACCTAACTATCATTATTTGTGAAACATATGATCTGTCCACACAAAAAATTCAATAGCTTCTATATTCAGCCATTAGAAATTGAAAATTATCTACGGATTCATGGGTAAAAGAGCTGCATACAAAATTTGGGGGCACATTCCTAAGCACCAGTCACAATCCACTGAATAATATGACAGAGAAAATATTTCAATACTATATGATATCTAGGAGTAAATCTAACAAAAGATACACAAGTGAGAACCAAGAATTTGAGAAAAGAAAGTAGACTAGTGTGACCGTAGCATAGAGTTTACACAGGGGGAATTCAGAAAAAAAGGAGTTTGGCCAGATTAAAGAGGCTTGATATGTATTCCATGGAGAGTTTTTGAGCAAGGAAGTAGAAAAATTAATTTAATAGTTAGAGAAATTTAATCTGAGACCAATTCAATGGAATCCATTAGTCTAAGGAGTTCAGAAATACAGTGGTAGGATTCAGTCTTAACTACCTCCTCGTGTGGAGATTTTTACAACCAGTCCATTTGTAGTAAAGGGCAATGTACTGCCTGCCACATACTCAAATAAAAGAAAAATCAATATTTTAGATGATTGTTTTTCTGTACAGTAAAAATGAAACGCAGAAAGCAGTGCTGGTTGTCAGACTCGGTTTGGCCTTCATATTTTCAATATGAGGTCAAATGACGGAATCTTGAGTCATTCACTGGCCTGGTTGATGACCAGTTCTTCTATCTAATGACTAATTTTGGCATTTAGAAAAAGGCTAAAAATATGCCTGTGATCATAGGCAGAATGCAGTTATTTTAAAAAAAGAGACTTTGGGGCCAGTTTCAAAAAATTATAATGAAACCATGGTCATAACAGGCAATAGCTGTATGGGTTAAATCATAAAGTAAGAATATTTTAACATCAAGTTCTGACGCCAGTATGGCACTATATAGGGAGGTCTAAGTCCCCAACTAACCTATTTTTGTTAAACATAAATAAACATATTCAGGCCCTTATCTTTCCAACTTCTCTTTGGCATTTTCATTTGCCAAATATTTACTGGGCACCTGCTATATATCAGGCACTGTGCTAAGGCCAGAGGATTCAGCAGAGAACAAAGTAAATGCAGCACCCGCCATCTCAAGGTTTACATTCCTGCCTGAAGTCTGCAATGTGGCAAACTTCTCCTAGGCTTCCAGGACACCACTCTGGAGTTTTTCCCCCGCCTCCCTCATCACTCTGTCTCCTTCACTGACTCCTTTTCTTTTGCTTTTTTTTTTTTAAAACATTGGTTGCCCCAATTCTCAGCCCTCTTCTCTTCTCTCTCAGTATTCTCCCAGAGAAGTTCTCCATTTATTCCCCTTTTTAAATTTCATTTATATAGTAAAATTACATTTAGATCTAGATAGATATATAGATTACTATGTGCCAAGATCTGTTATAATCACATTACAAATATTAACTTATTTAATCCTTGTAACAATCATTTTAGATGGATATTCTTATTTTACGTGTTTTCAGATGAGAGCACTGAGTCACAAATTAGTTAATAAAGTGGCAGAACTGGAGTTTAAACCAAGACAGACCATTACATAGACTAGTATGCTACGCATACTCCTCTATCTTCAACCTATAACCTATGTGTGGATGCCTCCCCAATGCAGATCATTAAATTGTAATTTTCTATATTCAGTCTCATATTTTGTAATAGCTGCTAGACATCAATAACTGAACTTTCTACACATAACTTAGAAACAATGTGTTTTTCAGTCTGAATGGTCATGTCTTCCCAAAATTCTTGTGTTGAAATCCTAACCCCAAGGTAATGGTATTTGAAAGTGAGGCCTTCTGCTCAAAACTGCTACAGATTTCCAGCTTCTGGTGTTGGTGCTGGCAAATGGCCCTTCTTGCCTTGATCCACAGGGATGAGAAAGGGTATGTCGTTAATGTTTTGTTAGCTAATGCTGATTAATTAATCAAAAAAAAGTGAGGCCTTCTGGAAGATGATTAAGTCATGAGAGTGAGTCCTCATTAATAGGATTTGTGCCCTTATAGAAGAGACCCCAGAGAGCTGCCTTGCCCTTCTACATAACTTTGGGAACCAATATTTTCCAAATGACCAGTGCATTTTGTTACAAAATCATACTTGGGTAAATGCTTCATTCAAAACTCAATATACACCAATGAATTTTAATGCATTATAGTAACAAATATGTTTTCAGATTCTACATTGCAACTAAGCATTATGAAACTGCCACTACCGTATTTTGATTTATTAGCAAAGAATATCAGATACTCTAAGCTTGGAGTTCCTCAGCTATCACACAAACCCACTGCATGCAACCACCTGGGCCCCTTAGTGTCCCCCTCCATGGGACTTGGAGAGCAAAGGTTACCAGTGGAAACATGAAGCTCATACTGATTGCTGCACCATGAGTAATGACTTAGGAATTCTGTGTCTAATGCCAGCAACGTGAAACTGTAGAAGGCTAATTTCTTAGCTTATAAATGACATAAAATCTCAGACTGTTCACAGTTCTTGACAGATAATGAATGATGAGAAAATTGTTTAACTAAATGAAGTGGTCATGTGAGGCAATCCTGGGAAATAGACTAGAATGATTAGGATAGAGATGATTTAAGGAGTACTCTTATCTGCAGGTGATAGGCAGTTACTGAAGGTGTTTTAGTACACCACAGCAAAAGTGTTACCTTAATAAAATTAATCAGAGTGATAGGCTAACTGCCAATGCAGAGCTAGAAAGAGCGTTTACAGTGAAGAAGGCATTGTGATAAGTCTTCTATTTAATCTCTGTTAAAATTGAATAATGTGATTATAATAAATTATAATATATATATAATTATAAATCGTTCTACTATAAGGACACATGCACATGAATGTTCATTGCAGCACTGTTTACAATAGCAAAGACCTGGAACCAACCCAAATGCCCATCAACGACAGACCGGAAAGGGAAAATGTGGCACATATACACCGTGGAATATTATGCAGCCATCAAAAACGATGAGTTTGTGTCCTTTGTAGGGACATGGATGAACCTGGAAACCATCATTCTCAGCAAACTGACAGAAGAGCAGAAGATCAAACACCACATGTTCTCACTCATAGGCGGGTGTTGAACAATGAGAACACATGGACACAGGGAGGGGAGCACTACACACTGGGGTCAGTTGGGGGGAAATAGGGGAGGGACGGTGGGTGGTGGGGAGTTGGGGAGAGATAGCAAGGGGAGAGATGCCAGATGTAGGTGATGGGGAGGAAGACAGCAAATAACATTGCCATGTGTGTATCTATGCAACAATCTTGCATGTTCTTCACATGTACCCCAAAACCTAAAATGCAATAAAATAAATTAAAAAAAAAACATTTATATATAGTACTTGTTACGTGAACAGCTTTAAATACATTAACTCACTAAACAAGTATACAATTTTATAAGGTAAATACTATTATTGCCTATTTCAGTTCCAGTAGCTATAACAAACAGAGTGCCACAGGCTGGCTGGCTTTAACATCAAACATTCATTGCTCACAGTTCTGGAGACTGAGAAGTCCAAGGTGAAGGCATCAGCCAACTCAGTGCCGAATGAGGACACCCTTATTGGTTTGTAGACAGTCGTGTTCTCCTTGTATCCTCATGTGGCCTAAAGAATGAGCTTTAGTCTCTTTCTCTTATAAGGATACTAATCCTATTATTGGGGCACCACTCTCATGACCTCATCTAAACCTGATTAACTCCCAAAGTCCCCACCTCTAATACCATCCCACTGGTGGTTAGGATTTTAAAATATGAAATTTGGGAAAGCATATACATGTAGTCCACAATATCATCATTTTACAAATAAGGAAACCAAGGAATCTAAAGATAAGTCTCTTGTTCAAGTTCACAACAAACCAAAAACAAGTAAATGGAAGAAGCAGGACTTGACTCTAGGAAGTATTTCTCCCAAAGACTATGTTCTCAACCATTATCCTATAATGCATTACTCTTGGCGTATGTATTCATTATACCCATTTTATAGCTATGCAAAGAAGTGTAGAAAAATTAGGTCACTTACCCTAAGTCATAAATCCAGTAAGTGTTAAAACTAGGACTAGGAGGGATCCAAGATGGCCGTTTAGGAACAGCTCAGGATTGCAGCTCCCAGTGAAAGCGCAGAGGGTGAGTGGACGCCGCATTTTTATTGCCCACAGACTAGGCAATTCCCAGACGGAGGAGCCCCACAGGTCGCCAGCGCGGCTGTTTCGGCCAGCGCGGCTGTGCGTGCTGGCGCCACTGCTTTGCCCCGCGAGGCTGCTTTGTCGGCGCCCCGGAGCAGCGGTTCTCCATACAAAATACACCGGTCCGGGTGCCCTTCTGGCTGGCGACTGGAGCCAGGGGAAGTCGCCCATTCGTCTGTTTAAAAAGGGGACTGAGCAGGGAGCCAGGACAGCAGATTCCAGGGCAAAAAAAGCACCACAAATCTCAGTGCCACTGTTTAAGCCAGCGCAGTGAGTCGCCGCACGGAAAAAAAACACACACCGCGGCGCCTCTTCAACAGGCGACTGGAACACCAACTTAAAAAAAAAAAAAAAAGGCTCTGAGGCAGAGAGCCAGCGATCAGGCTCGGCTGGTCCCACCCCCACAAAAGAACGGCAACCAGAAACTCTCTGGATTGAGAGTTTCACAGGAAGCGCAGCTGAACTCAGGACAGTCCAGCTCTGTGGGGGAGGGGCGTCCGCCATTACCGAGGCAGCCCGCCGATAGGGAGGTAGTCAGCCAATGCTGAGGCAGCCTGCCGTTGCCAAGGAAACCCACCATTGCCAAGGCAACCCGCCTCTTCAGAGAGACTCCGCCTCAACAGCAGCGGGCCACCATTGCTGAGGCAGCTCTAACTACACCCATATAAACAGGACTGCAGGGAAGTTCACTCGGCAGCTGGGCAGAGCCCACAGCAGCTCAGCAAAACCTATACAGGCAGACAGTGACTAGGCTGCCTCCTTGCTGGGCAGGGCAGCTCTGAAGGAAAAAAAAATAAAGAGAAGGCAGCAGCATAACGGAAACTCATAAAGCCCTAAATCCCGGGGACAGAGCACCTGGGAACAAAAAGTGGTTTATCAGTTCTGCTGCAGCAGACCTAAACGTACTTGCCCAGCAGCTCTGAATGAGCAACGGAGCTCACAGCTCAGCATTTGAACTCCTATAAAGAAGAGACCGTCTCCTCAAGCAGTTCCCTGACCCCTGTATATCCAAAGAGCCACCTCATAAAGGAGAGATCAGATTGACACTTGGCGGGTATCCTTCTGGGACAAAGATAGCAGAAGAAGAAAACTGGTAACAACCCTTACTGTTCAGCAGCTGCTGCAGGTGAACCCCAGGCAAGCAGGGCCTGGAGTGGACCTCAGCAGACCTACAGCAGAGGGGCCAGACTGTCAGAAGGAAAACCAAGAAACAGAAATAACCTCATCATCAACAAACAGAACGTCCACGCAGAGACCCAATCTAAAAGCCAGCAACTACAAAGTCGACAGGTGGATAAATCCATAAAGATAGGAAGAAGCCAGTGCAAAAAGGATGAAAACACCCGAAACCAGAACACTTCTCCTCCTACAAGGGATCACAACTCCTCACCAGCAAGGGAACAAGGTTGGATGGAGAACGAGTGTGATGAAATGACACTTCTGAATCAGACTTCAGAAGGTGGGTAGTAAGAAACTTCTGTGAACTTAAAGAACATGTTCTAACCCAATGCAAAGAAACTAAGAACGTTGAAAAAAGATTTGACGAAATGCTAACGAGAATGGACAAAATAGAAAGGAATATAAGTGAATTGATGGAGCTGAAAAACGCAACAATAGAACTTCGCGAAGCATGAACAAGTATCAACAGCCGAATTGACCAAGCAGAAGAAAGGATATCAGAGGTCGAAGATCAACTCAACTAAATAAAATGGGAAGGAAAGAATGGAGAAAAAAGGGCAGAAAGGAATGAACAAAGTCTCCAAGAAATGTGGGACTATGTGAAAAGACCTAATCTACGTTTGATAGGCGTACCTGAATGTGACGAAGAGAATGAATCCAAGCTGGAAAATACTCTTCAGAATATTATCCAGGAAAACTTTCCCAACCTAGCAAGGCAGGCAAATATTCAAGTCCAGGAAATACAGAGAACCCCGCAAAGATATTCGTCAAGAAGAGCAACCACAAGGCACATAATCGTCAGACTCGCCAGGGTTGAAATGAAGGAGAAAATACTAAGGGCAGCCAGAGAGAAAGTTCGGGTTACCCACAAAGGGAAGCCCATCAGACTCACAGCAGATCTCTCAGCAGAAACCCTACAAGCCTGAAGAGAGTGGGGGCCAATATTCAACATCCTTAAGGAAAAGAACTTTCAACCCAGAATCTCCTATCCAGCCAAATTAAGCTTCATAAGTGAAGGAAAAATAAAATCCTTTGGGAACATGCAAGTACTCAGAGATTTCGTCACCACCAGGCCAGCTTTACAAGAGCTCCTGAAAGAGGCTCTACCCATATAAAGGAACAACCAGTACCAGCCACTCCAAAAACATGCCAAATGGTAAAGAGAATCAACACAATGAAGAATCTGCATCAACTAATGGGCAAAACAGCCAGCTAGCACCAAAATGGCAGTATCAAATTCACACATAACAATATTAACCCTAAATGTAAATGGACTAAATGCCCCAATCAAAAGACACAGACTGGCAAATTGGATAAAAAGCCAAAATCCATGGGTGTGCTGTATCCAGGAAACCCATCTCATATGCAAGGATACACAAAGGCTCAAAATAAAGGGATGGAGGAAGATTTACCAAGCAAATGGAGAGCAAAAAAAAGCAGAAGTTGCAATTCTCATCTCTGATAAATTAGACTTTAAAGCAACAAAGATCAAAAGAGACAAAGAAGGACATTACATAATGGTAAAAGGATCAATGCAACAAGAAGAGCTAATGATCCTAAATATATACACACCCAATACAGGAGCACCCAGATACATAAGGCAAGTTCTTAATGATCTACAAAGAGACTTAGGCTCCCACACAATTATAGTGGGAGACTTTAACACCCCATTGTCAATATTAGACAGATCAACCAGACAGAAAATTAACAAGGATATCCAGGACTTTAACTCAGACCTGGACCAAGCAAACCTAATAGACATTTACAGAACTCTCCACCACAAATCCACAGAATATACATTCTTCTCAGCACCACATCACACCTACTCTAAAATTGACCACATAATTGGGAGTAAGTCACTCCTCAGCAAATGCAAAAGAACGGAAATCATAACAAACAGTCTCTCAGACCACAGTGCAATCAAGTTAGAACTCAGAATTCAAAAACTAACCCAGAACCGCACAGCTTCATGGAAACTGAACAACTTGTTCTTGAATGTTGACTGGATAAACAATGAAATGAAGACAGAAATAAAGATGTTCTTCGAAACCAACGAGAATGAAGACACAACATACCAGAATCTCTGGGACACATTTAAAGCAGTCTTTAGAGGAAAATATATAGCAATAAGTGCCCACATGAGAAGCAAGGAGAGATCAAAAATTGACACCCTTTCGTCAAAACGGAAAGAGCTAGAGGAGCAAGATCAAAAAAACTCAAAGTCTAGCAGAAGACAAGAAATAGCTAAGATCAGAGCAGAACTGAAGGAGATAGAGACACAAAAAACCCTTCAAAAAATCAATAAATCCAGGAGCTGGTTTTTTGAAAAGATCAACAAAATAGACAGACTACTAGCCAGATTAATAAAAAAGAGAGAATAACCAAATTGATGCCATAAAAAACGATAAAGGGGATATCACCACAGATTCCACAGAAATTCAAACCATCATCAGAGATTATTACAAACAACTCTATGCACATAAACTAGTAAACCTGGAAGAAATGGATAAATTCCTGGACACTTGCCTCCTCCCAAGCCTAAACCAGGAAGAAGCCAAAACCCTGAACAGACCAATAACAAGGTCTGAAGTTGAGGCAGCAATTAAAAGCTTACCACCCAAAAAAAGACCAAGTCCAGACGGGTTCACAGCCAAATTCTACCAGACATACATAGAGGAGCTGGTACCATTCCTTCTGAAACTATTCCAAACAATACAAAAAGAGGGAACTCTTCCCAAATCATTTTATGAGACCAAAATCATCCTGATTCCAAAACCTGGCAGAGACTCAACAAGAAAAGAAAACTTCAGGCCAATATCCATGATGAACATAGATGCAAAAATCTTCAATAAAATACTGACAAGCAGATTGCAACAGCACATCAAAAAGTTTATCCACCATGATCAAGTAGGCTTCATCCCAGGGATGCAAGGCTGGTTCAACATATGCAAGTCTATAAACGTAATTCACCACATAAACAGAACCAAAGACAAAAACCACATGATTATCTCAATTGATGCAGAGAAGGCCTTTGACAAAATTCAACAGCCCTTTATGCTAAAAACCCTCAATAAGCTAGGTATTGATGGAACGTATCTTAAAATATTAAAAGCAATTTATGACAAACTAACACCCAATATCATACTGAATGGGAAAAAACTGGAAGCATTCCCCTTGAAATGTGGCACCAGACAAGGATGCCCTCTTTCACCACTCCTATTCAATATAGTATTAGAAGTTCTAGCCAAAGCAATCAGGCAAGAAAATGAAATAAAGGGCATTCAAATAGGAAAGGAGGAAGTCAAATTGTCTCTATTTGCAGATGACAAGATTATATATCTAGAAGACCCCATCGTCTCAGCCCCAAATCTCCTGAAACTGATAAGCAACTTCAGCAAAGTCTCAGGATACAAAATCAATGTGCAAAAATCACATGCATTCCTATACACCAATAACACACTTAAAGAGATCCAAATCAAGAACAAACTTCCATTCACAATTGCCACAAAGAGAATAAAATACCTAGGAATACAACTAACAAGGAACGTAAAGGACCTCTTCAAGGAGAACTACAAGCCACTGCTCAACGAAATAAGAGAGGACACAAACAGATGGAGAAACATCCCATGCTCATGGAGAGGAAGACTCAATATCGTGAAAATGGCCATACTGCCCAAAGTAATTTACAGACTCAATGCTATCCCCATCAAGCTACCAATGACCTTCTTTGCAGAACTGGAAAAAACCACCTTAAACTTCATATGGAACCAAAAGAGAGCCCGCATAGCCAAGTCAATTCTAAGCAAAAAGAACAAAGCGGGGGGCATCACACTACTGGACTTCAAACTATACTACAGGGCTACATTAATCAAAACAGCATGATACTGGTACCAAAACAGAGATATAGACCAATGGAACAGAACAGAGGTCTTGGAGGCAACACAACATATCTACAACCATCTGATCTTTGACAAACCAGACAAAAACAAGCAATGGGGAAAGGATTCCCTGTTTAATAAACGGTGTTGGGAAAGCTGGCTAGCCATGTGCAGAAAGCAGAAACTGGACCCCTCCCTGACACCTTACACTAAAATTAACTCCAGATCGATTAAAGACTTAAACATAAGACCTAACACCATAAAAACCCTAGAAGAAAATCTAGGCAAAACCATTCAGGACATAGGTGTAGGCAAGGACTTCATGACCAAAACACCAAAAGCATTGACAACAAAAGCCAAAATAGACAAATGGGACCTAATCAAACTCCACAGCTTCTGCACAGCAAAAGAAACAGTCATTAGAGCGAATCGGCAGCCAACAGAATGGAAAAACATTTTTGCAGTTTACCCATCTGACAAAGGCCTGATATCCAGAATTTACAAATAACTGAAACAGATTCACAAGAAAAAAACAAGCCCATTCAAAAGTGGGCAAAGGACATGAACAGACACTTTACAAAAGAAGACATATATGAGGCCAACAAATATATGAAAAAATGCTCATCATCACTGGTCATCTGAGAAATGCAAATCAAAACTACACTGAGATACCATCTCACGCCAGTTAGAATGGCGATCATTAAAAAATCTGGAGACAACAGATGCTGGAGAGGATGTGGAGAAATAGGAACACTTTTACAATGTTGGTGGGAGTGTAAATTAGTTCAACCATTGTGGAAGACACTGTGGCAATTCAAGGACCTAGAAATAGAAATACCATTTGACCCAGCAATCCCATTACTGGGTATTTATCCAAAGGATTACAAATTGTTCTGCTATAAGGACACGTGCACACGAATGTTCATTGCAGCACTGTTTACAATAACAAAGACCTGGAACCAACCCAAATGCCCATCGACGATAGACTGGATAGGGAAAATGCGACACATATACACCATGGAATATTATGCAGCCATTAAAAATGATGAGTTTGTGTCCTTTGTAGGAACATTGGATGAACCTGGAAACCATCATTCTCAGCAAACTGACAGAAGAGCAGAAGATCAAACACCGCATGTTCTCACTCATAGGCGGGTGTTGAACAATGAGAACACATGGACACAGGGAGGGGAGCACTACACATTGGGGTCAGTTGGGGGGAAATAGGGGAGGGACGGTGAGGGGTGGGGAGCTGGGGAGAGATAGCAAGGGGAGTGATGCCAGGTGTAGGTGATGGGGAGGAAGACAGCAAATCACACTGCCAGGTGTGTACCTATGCAACAATCTTGCATGTTCTTCACATGTACCCCAAAACCTAAAATGAAATAAAATTAAATAATGGGAAAAAAAAACTAGGGCTATAGTGCTAAATATAAAAAAGGAGAAGATTATTATAGTCAATTATATAAATTCAATTGGTATGCTTATTTTCATTCTTTTCAACTATTCCTTTCGTGGTCTGAGGTAAAGGGATTCCTTTGGAGATTGTTACATGAGCAGCGTGACTCAGACTCCATGGGACTTGCAGTCATAATCCTGATGACCGAAATAGGAAAATGAGGTAAGCAATGCCTTATAGGATGGAACCACTTAACTTCAAACCGTGACTGAGAATGACAGGAACCCAACTCAAAACTCAACGTCAGCAACAGCTGGAACCATGGCCTCACTTCTCTCTCTCTCTGCCATCTCTGCTTCTCTTTGTCCATTGACATCCTTCCTACAGATTTGTTCACAAAGCTGAAACTCTGTCTATCATTATCCTAGACTCACATCTTACTAGTTTCACCACCAACAGGAGGGAAAAAAATCTTTCCCCGATTCCAGCTCAACAATACCCAGGAAAGGATGCTGTTTGGCTTGACTTGAGTCATTCCCTCATTTTATGACCAATCCCTGTGTGCAGTAAGGTAATCCACTATTCTAAGTCAGGTATCTTCTCTACCCTGGATGGGGACAAGCCTGAGGAGTGTATAAAGAACAAGTCAGGAAACAATGATTGATAGTCCCTTCTAGACCCACGATATTGTAATTGGAGAAAAGCTGTTTCCCCTGTCCCCCAAAAAAAGCAGAGAGAGAAGGGGGACAGTGATCTCAGGCAAACAGAAGGAATAGAGCGTCACAATATCTGAACAGAGACTCTTTCTATTTGGCTTTGGCATCCTTTACATTGGAAGCACATTTTGGAATTCAGCACATAATTCAGTTCAGTACAAGGCTGGGTTTCTTTGCTTTACTTATTGATATCTTGAGTTCCCTCACTGAGTAACTCAATCAGACAATTTCCTTGGAGATGAGGACTGAATTCATACATTTTCCTAGGTATTTTTGTACACTTAGTAAATTCCCATTGAAAAAAGTCCAGCCAACTTTCCTTGCCACGCTATAAATGTAACAATGTTTGGTTTATAGCAGCAGTAGTTTTAGGGAGCCTACCGTTGTTTGGAATTCTTCCCCTGTGGTTCACAGTTGCTCCCAAGGGGATGGTCCCCATACCGTTTTGTCTTCATTATACTAACAGCTCACTGCTGAATCAAACAGGGCCAGCCTCAGCCAGAAAAAAAAAAAAAAAAAAAAAAAAAAAAAAAAAAAAAAAAAAAAAAA